TGACCCATCGACGTGCGGGTGGGTTTGGAGGGGTGCAGGCTGAAATTGCGCTAAGTGATTCATGAACGTGTATAAAATACATCGTCGTCCCCCCCCCAAATACTTGGAAAAGCTGCTAAAATGATAACGTTTAATAAAAATATAAATAAAGTGATACTAGCCAAATTTTTTTGGGAAAAAAAAAAGAATGGTATGGGATAGGAGGAGGACAGGTGGGACCTCCGAGAGGAGGAATTGAGGGGGGACGGGTCTCCCCTGCCAATGGGTGCTGGCCCTGATGGGGAGCACTGGAGGTGAGGGGACCTTCACCACAGCTCCCTGGCGGGGGTCACGATGGCTGATGCTTGGTTGAGGATTTTTGGGAAGCTTCCAGGGATGGGGACTTCTGGGGACCAGGATGTACCATTGGAGCTGAGCAGTGATCCCAGCAGGCAAACCCCAAACTTTCCAGCCCGGGACAAGCCTTCCATCCCTGACCCCCCTGTCTCTTTCTGGCTGTGGCTCTGCTCACAAAGGAGAGCAGTAAATAATAAGCATGGGATGCTCGTTCCGATTCCTGGGCTCAACCAGGGATCGAGTGTCCTGCAGTTCATCCCCTGTGGCTCCTCGAACCCATCGTACGGGACTGGCCCGTGGCCTCTTGCTGCTGTGCCCGTGTCCGATGGGGAAGGCATCGCTGTGCTGGCCTGGGGGGGGTTCCTTCATGATTCGTTGGGGTTGCTTAGACAGACGCTGGTGAGGTCCAGAGCTGGAAACGTTCCGTCTCAGAAATGGTGAAGCTAAACTTTGCCTTAAAATGGGAGCAGGTCTGCTGGGAGAAGCACGGCAGAAGCACTGGCTCTGCTTTTGGGTCTCTGCGAGCGATGGCCAGTGCCGGCAAACCAGGACCCTCTGCTCGGGCTGGGCATGAGGCCGCGGGCAGGGGCAGGGGCAGTGCTCATGCCCCAGGAAGCCCTGCAAGCCAAATCAGGGGTCTTGCACCCTTGCCGGCGGTTGGAGATGGATATAGAGATGGGGATGCTCCTGGTCTCCAAACTGGTGGCTGTGGGGCTAAAGCCAGGCTCTGGGGACAGGGGAGCCAGGCAGCAGCATCGGTCTCCTTCCCCTGCTGTGGTCCAGCTGAGCCTGCCAAGCTCGCCCTCCTGTGCTGGCTGTCGAGCAGAGGTTGGGGGCAAACTGGTGCCAACAAGGTCTCTGGTGGGAAGGGAGAGTGTAGCAAGATGATGCCGATAAATGCAGAGCGCTGTGGATTCAGCTGTGGTTACTAGGGATGCAGCACTGGCAGCGTGCGGGTATGAGATGATGCAGAGCAAAGGCACGAGCGGTAAGGCGGCAGAGAGGAGGCAGAGCATCACAGATGCAGGACTTCTTGGGAAAGAAATTGAAAGCAGAAACCGCTCGGGTTCCTCTGCGATTGGAGCATTTAAATGTAAGTGGGTGGGTGTTAATTACTGTGAGTTGGAAGCAGAAGGCCATAAAAAGAGACTGAGCCCCCCCCAGATGGAAATGAGGAGCCTTTGAGGGCACAACAGCATTTCCCCATATCTTGAAGTGGGAGGGTGGCCAGCGTGGCCATGAGCCCAGCTCTTCTCATGTGCAGCACGTACTGCCCGCTACTCCGTGCAGTTTAACCTGGCGCTAGAGGAAGGTATCCCCTATGGCTGCCGTGGGCTGGCGTCTCGCTGCGATTGCTGCTGACCATCTGCACTTGCTGATGTAAGGCATAAAAATGGCTTTTCCGTCATGCCTGCGGAGATGCCACCAAGTACCCACCCTCCAGGGGACAAGCCCGTTCCCCCATCCTGGCCAAACCTCTGTCAGGAGCTTGTTCGCCATGGGCTCAGCCCCCAAAGCCGCTGACTTGGAGGCTGCGAGGTGCTGAGCTGGAACGGGGTGAAGAGCAAAGCTGTCTCTCTGTCAAAGCCTGTGCTGCAGGCGCAGTGGTGTGGATACACTGTCAGTCCTGCCTCGGTTTCCCTGTTGCTCAGAGTAACCCTGACCTAGATCCCAAAGGATCCTGGATTGTACCCTCCTGCTCTGCAAGGACTTGGTGCTTCCTCACCTCGTCTCCCTTGCTCAGAGACAGCCGGAGGGAGAGCTCTGCACCACAGCAGCTCCCTGGGGCAGCCGGGTGCCTCCAGCCCCTGCAACGCCCTCCCTGGAGTGAGAGGAGAGGGCAGAAACCCTCCTGTTTGGAAATGCAGCTTGTGCAACGCTGAAATGCAGGATTCATTGCCGGTCTGCTTAACCAGCTGCCGGCTGGCTGACGGGGGATCCCCGTCAGCACATCGCGTGCTGCCAAGCTGTCTCAGAAGTTAGTGTCCGTGTCCACGTGCCCTGCGCCGGTGCGGGTTATCTCCCAGCAGCGCCAGCTGGGCAGCGTGCGGCACGCGTGCTTGCGCTCTTTTTTTTTTTTTTTTTTAAAATCTTTTTACTCTAGCAGCTATCATAGCAAGGGAATACGTAGTGATGCTGGAGGAAAATCTGCCCTACATCAGCTGTGCTGGTTGCAAGAGCTGGCTGTGCTGTCCGGCTGCGATGGCTTGTAGGACACGCGGCTCATCGTAGCCTGTTTCTGCACACCCGATATCCACGAGTGCCTGCCCAGGCTGCGCTGCGTGCTCGGACACGGCGCGGAGGTGAAAGGCTCCGTCATCCCCAATCCCTTTAGCCGTCTCGGCCTCTGCTTGTGTATTTTTAACCTTTTTGCTGTGCTAAGCTGCCTGGGGCTGAAGTGTCAGCAGGCACCGGGGAATACAGCCTCTTGCCGCCTTGCCAAGCCCGGGATTTCAGGATCAGTGGCTCTAATCTCCAGATCCTGAAATACCTTCTTCTGCCAGCGGCACATTCGGAAAATTTTAGCGACTGCAGGTTTAACCGCAGGGAAAGGGATGCCCTGACCCTCAGGGACGGGCTGCCATGAGGCAGAGCCGCTCCACTGCCGGCATCGATACCCCATCCGGCTGTCACCGCGATGCCCATCACTCGCTGGCGTGCGATGAGAGGTCCCAGTGCCGGGGGGGGGTGCTTTCTCCCACACCCTGTAAAACAGGCAGAGAGAAATGCTCTGTGGTCACCACCGAGTCCAACCCTCTCGTTTTCTCCCGGCAGACAAGTCTCTGTCCTGGCAAAACAGGTGAATTCTCTCCATCTTAAAATTCCCACCCTCTGAGTCTCTAATTAATCAGGAGAAACCTAATCATGGCTGATTTCTGGATGGTGTACCCTGTCTGTAGGTTTGTGACCGTGTGTCCGTCCCTCCGAGCCTCTCTGCAGGGAGCAGGCTGGGGCTGTGCTCACCGGGTTAGCGGTACGGGATGGTGACCCACTGCTGCTCCTCGGCTTTCCCTCCCCTTCCTCTGCTGTTCACACCCCATCTCCCCACGGCACTAAGGGAGAAGGGGGGTCCAGCTGCTCACCTCCTGCCACCCCTTTTGTCCCTGGGGAGCCGAGCCCGAATGCAAACTCCGGTCCCCCTCCGTAAAATTGCCTCGGTGGGTTCAGCTGGGTCTGCAGGGCAAGGGCAGAGCAAAACTGTCGTCTTCTCCTGATATCGGAGTTGTTTTTTGGGGTAGGAACCCCTCCATATACTGTCTGAAGTTAGCTTTGAGTTATTTAATTTATTTTAGGTTAGGTGGAGGAGCCCAGTTGAGCTGTTTTGATACGCTCTCGTGGAGGCCACGTGCTTGCATTTTGCCCTGTTGCTTCCGTTATTTGCCTGGATTTATTTCTCTTAGCTCATTTTTGGGGGTTGGTGGTGGGGTACCTCGTAGATGGCTCCCACATCACCAACACCGTGTGTGGAAACGCCGGTGAGGAGAAGGGGGTTGTTCCTGGCCGGAGGAGGACCTCTCGCAGGGGCTGTTGGTGACGATTTCCCACCGAGGTGGATCACTTCGCACTGCTGCAGCCACCGCCGTGTCCCCGGGGCTGCAGGAACATAAATGCTCTGGCTTTACGTAGAGGAGCCAGGGGCTAATAGAAGAGGTTTTTAAAACTCAGCTTGCTGTGGTGCTTGCTCTGAGAGACTGAACAGCCGGCGACCAGGCGCAGCGTCCGCCTGTTACAGGCACCCGAGCTCCACCGAGCCTCAGGTCAGGGCTGGTGGTCTCCCGTGAGAGACTTGGCTCTCTGCCTCCTGCTCTTTGCTTTCTCCTCTCGCCTGGCTGCTGCCGTGCTTTACTTCTTCACAACCTGGGGCTGTTCTCTGTATAAATCAGCCTCCAAAATGTAATGGCAGGGGAGAGGAAGGGTGCGTGACCAGGTGGAGGGAAATCGCCCCACTGGCTGGGATGTCTTTGGACAAGATGCTCACAAATGACTCTCCTTTTCTCACTTTCTTTTAACCATACGTATTTAATGACTCTCAGTAAATTACTTGACGTTCTGGGTTTTTTTCTCTCCACGCATCTTTCCTGCTGTAGCTGTTCTTCCAGCATGTTATTTGGGGAGCCAGCCATCTGGGGTGTTACTCCTGACTGCGTGCAACCAGACAAACCGTGACTTGAGTGATGTTCCCACTCAGAGCAGCGCCATGAACACGGGGGGAGGCAGGTATCCCGGCAGGGACCGGAACGCTCTCCTTTTGCACCAAGTCCTTTCTTGCTCCAGGGAGTGCGTCAGTGCGGGGTCCTGCCCTGGGCGCTCCCCTGAGCCTGCGGTCACGCAGCCCGGTGTCACTGCCAGTCCCTGCCCGATGCCATCTGGGGTGGGACTGCAGTCCTGACACCAAGGAATGCCTCTTCCCAGTTGCAAAAAGGTTGTCTCCTCCCAGGCAAGTGTGTTATACTGACAGGGAGCAGCAGAAAGAAGAGGGGAGAGACAGCTGTCTGTCCAAGCAGGGCTGCCCTGTGTGTTCGGATCTGCTGGTGTTGAGGGGGAACATTTGGGGTGCGGGGAACACTTCACCTCCTTGCCAGCAGCCCACAAATTCCCACCTAAGACACTATCAAGCTCTTCGTTGTCAGGCACCGAGGCTAAAATAAGCTTTTTCTGATAACCTCTGTCTGTGCACTCCCGCTTTTTAAAGATTTTTAAAAAGGATTTGCACAAGTGTAATCGATTCGCACGTAGCGAAGAAGCCAACTGCAAATGAGCAAACCTGCCGCACGAGGACTTGGCCAGTGCAACCTCCCAGAGGTCCAGGGAGTCAGGGGAAACCTTCCCGCAGGGCAGAGCTGGGCAGGGAGCCTCAGTGGTGCTGCGGGGTGTGCTGGGGATGACGTGGGTCCTGGTCGATGTGGCGCTCTCGGCGTTGTCCATTACTGTTCTGTTTTATGTGGGGTTTCGGGTTGTTGGTTTTTTTTTTTTGACAAGGCGTGCATGTAACTGTCCTCTCTCTTCTTCAGGACAGAGTCATCAATCTAGTTGTTGGCGGCTTAACATCCTTGCTGCTTGTAGTAAGTATCCCCTGTCCCGTCCCATGTTTCGTGGCTCCCTTAGGCGACGGGGTGAAAACCAGAGTTCCTCCCCAAAACGGGCGGCGAAACTTCACTGACCTAACAGGCTGTAGTTTGAGGCCCAGGTAGTGACTTTGGGTGCATCTGTCTTCTTTTAAAACTCTTTGACAACGGGGCAAGGAGAATACCTTCCTTCAAGCCGTGTTTTAAGATCAGGCTGTGCAATAAAGCGCCCCAAGTCCACGAGCAGATTGTCCATCCCGGCTGAATGTGAGGCTGGGTGAGATGACAGAGTGCTTATGACACAGGAGAACTGGTTTTCTTCTCTTGATTTCCTTCTATTTATGGACTACAGGAGTTTTTCCAAAGCTTGTCACTTTGTCTTGAGCTAAGCTTGCCTCAAGCTTTACAGATCGCGACTGGAGAGCGTCAGTTCTGCGCTCCAGGCAGCAGCATCGCTTGCGAGCTGAGGTGCAGGGAGGCGTTGGGGAGAGCTGCGGTGCCAGCTGGTGGAAAGCTCGGCTGAAGGGGTGCTCCTACACGCGCAGCGTGCCCCCCCCGTGCCTGCTGGCTCTCTGGGTGTTTGGAGGACAGTTTCCAGTAGTAAGCCAGAGTAGCAAAGTTTTCATAATTTTTTTTTTTTTTCCCCACCCCCTAAGTCTGCAGCTGTGTCAAAGCAATTCTCCTGCAGTATTTTACGTTTCCCTCCAGCTCTTCACACGGTGGGAGTTAAGAGTTGGGGGGGGACGATGTGCAGAGCAGGACGTTTCTCATAGCGGCTCTGAAGAGAGCAGTGTCTTCATCTCTGTTTTCCTCCACACAGGTCACTCTAATCAGTGCTTTTGTCTTCCCGCAACTACCTCCAAAACCTGTGAATATATTTTTTGCTTTCTGCATCTCCTTGTGTTGCATTTCTGCTGGCATACTTGTAAGTACCGCCACGTTTGCTGTGCAAGCTTTTGAGTGTATGACTTGAGAATGAAATCCGAATAAAATCTGCTTTACCTAGTGCTGCCTGCTTTTTTACACTCTCCTAGAAAAGCTTTCCCGCTTGCATAAAACAAGCTGACAATGAGAGTGGGGTAAGCAGTTTTGTATTTACTGCAGCATAAGCGTGTGAGCTAAGCCAACTCCTGAAGACCAGCTGTGATGCAAGAGTTGTCACCTCTGTGACAATGCCACCTGTGGCTGCCAGTGGAGACAAAGCAGGAAATGGGAGAGCAGAGCAGTGAGATGGGAACGCAGGGATGGATTCTGCTGCAGAGGACTAGGGGTGAAGCAAAACACTCCAGCTGGAAGCAGTGGGGCCAGCCAGGCATGTGCAGGTGTTGGTGGCCTTTCAGGCACAGGGGATAAGTGACAGTGGCGGGAAGCTACAGCACGTGGCATTTCATGGGCTTGGAGCAGAGGTTCCTCTGTGGCATCCCAAGAGTAGGTCCCAAGCGTAGGCAAAGACAGGTCAGAGTTCATAGACTGGTTTGGGTTGGAAGGGACCTTCAAAGATCATCTAGGCCAGCCCCCCGCTGTGGGCAGGGCCATCAGTGGCTCCTTCCTCTGCTGGAGCTTTTCCTACTTGGAGCATTCTCCTTCTCCCAAGGGTTGTGGCCCTGAGCTTCTGCCCGTCGCTGCTGGGTAAGCTGGGAAGGTGCTCTGCGTTGCCCAGTTAGTACCAGTTTCTGGTTCTACGGCTGGTAGCCATGACTCTGCCTACAATAGATTGTGTAGTGCAAAATCTTATGTTTGTCCTCGTCGACCGGAGTGTAGCCAATTTCTAATGTTTAAGAAACCAAACCAACCCTCTTCAACAAAGCTGACAAGACACCTCATGTCTTCATAGCTAACCTGGCACCCTGGTTTCACAAACAGCTTTGTTTTGGGGAGAAACACCTTGCCAAATTCTCATTTCTGTATTCCACAAGCATGCCAAGAAAACATAGGTAGTATTTAATTGTTAAGAAAATTCGCTGGACTCTACACCTAGTCTTCTCTGGTCAGATGAAGCTGGGTTCTTTTACCGAAAAAAACCCAAACAAAACCAAACCCAACTTCTAGAAGTTACCCGTTCAGTTACTAGAGAAAGTTTCCTCAGGAGTACCGGGCATTTTTAAGTAATACAAGCTCCTTCTCTCTTCTAGATCTACTGGTATCGACAAGGAGACCTGGAACCTAAATTTAGGAACCTAATTTACTATATTTTATTTTCTATCGTCATGTTATGTATATGTGCCAACCTGTACTTCCATGAAGTGGGTAAATGATGGATGTTGGGGATACCCAGCAATGATGCTACTGTGTCAGACTGCTTTCAGCTCAGCCTGAGATATTTAAGTGAGGACAATCAGCCTGAGAGGAAAGAAGTGGGTTGTGCAGGGATAAATCAGTACATGATTTTCATGTAAATGTATATGTAATGTCCCTCTTGTTGGGGAGAATTATTGCCATAAGACATGACATTCTGCTTTTTTTTGAAGAGCTACTGTTGCACTTACTTACTTAATGAACATTCCAGTTGTACTGATGTTTCAGAATGGCACAAGCTTTTTCATTTTGGAAAAAACTGCATTTTTTTATTACTGTACAAATAAACTGCAGCATTGCAAAGACTTGTAGCAGTATAAATAAATGGCATCTTACAGTTACGTAAGACAAATACTCTTTATTTCGTTTAAACTGAATATACAATTATTTCTGTTCCCTAGGCAACCATTTAAAACTACAACTTATTTTTCACATTAACAAAACCACAGACTGAAAAAGACCAACTCTTGATTATGAAGAGCTAATTACAGAAATAAATAAAATAATTTATACATGAGTCTTTAGTTTCTATAGCTTTTTCTCTCAATCCCTAGCTAACAGGCTGCTGCTCAGCCTAGTGTCTGTTTCAAACCCTTGAACGTAGGAATTAATTGGCTCCCTTTGCCTCGGGGCTCTATGCCCAAATTCTCACAGACCTTTTTCTCCAAGACTTTGCCACCTCCACGCCACTCCCCCATCTACTAACTCGCTGCATAAATCACCTCTGGAGAGGTGGCTGGTAGTGTCATGTAAACTGTAAGAGAGACAAATGTTCCAGCCTACTCACAAACAATCTTCAAAGAAGTTACAAGCTTGTGGGGGGAGGCTAGTGGGTCCTAGTAGCTTCCCTTTCTCATAGCCCTTCCCTTTTTATTCAGCTTGCTGTAGTGATGAAGGAAAAGGAAAAAAAGAAGAAAAAAAAAAAAAGATTTTCCACAAGTGATCTTTCTGAGCTATATCCGTTGCCAGCAACGGACTCCTCAGGAACAAGCAGACCAGGCAAGTCCCGTAAGCGTGTGTGTCTTCTTCCTATGCCGTAGACGTACTAACAAGCCAGATGAGATGGGAATACAGACCATGTCTTCATGATGCTGCCCATGCTCCCTGAAGTCTTTGATGGAATACATTTCTTCCTGAAATGTAACAGTCTCTTACTCCATGTATTACAAGAGTCAGTAAGTGCAGAAATCCTCACCCATTCTTCATGAAACGTGCAAACTAATTCTTGCTGCGGCACTAAGAGGCTACAGTCCACAATCCTTGACTGCTGTCCAGTTTTCCAGATGTGCAGCTCAGCACACCAGTAACCAGTCAGATCAGAATTGACCACGTGGATCCTAGCAGTGAGCACTGCAACAGAGGTTCTTTAAAACACCGAAACACCCCGGCTGAGACGTAGTACATCAGGCCTCTGTTGGCTGCTCTCTAACCCTTTACAAATGAGGTAAATAGCCTGAGCAGAGAAAGTGCACTGTAGTCATTTTAAACTGGAAGTTTCTGTTTAAAGACACGGACTGACTGCTTTCTTTGGAAGTGTGGCACAGAGTTGTAACTAATTTCACAATGCAAAAACGGTCAATAGAAAATGGACACGATGACTGCTTCTCAGTGACAGCTCACTAAATCTTCAACATCCTTTGAATCTTCTGAATCAGGACTGCCCAATGATGAGCCAATAATGTGTGACCCATCTCCGTGATGCTGCAGGATAGGATCTGTCAAGAGACATAGTATATTAGTAATATGTACTTGACTGTTAGTCAAGATACATTGTACATCTTATAGCAGCCTTCCAGTACCTAAAGGGGCCTATAGGAAAGCTGGAGAGGGACTGTTTACAAGGGCATGGAGTGATAGGACAAGGGGGAATGGCCTTAAGCTGAAGGAGGAGAGATTTAGATTAGACATCAGGAAGAAATTCTTCACAATGAGGGTTGGGAGGCACTGGCACAGGTTGCCCAGAGAAGCTGTGGATGCCCCATCCCTGGCAGTGTTCAAGGCCAGGTTGGATGGGGCTTTGGACAACCTGGTCTAGTGGAGGGTGTCCCTGCCCATGGCAGGGGGGTTGGAACTAGAGGGGCTTTGAGGCCCCTTCCAACCCAAACCAGTCTGTGATTCTACGTTTAGAACTATTATTTACTGTGCCATTATAACAAGATACACAATACACACTTAGGAGATAGAAAATGCAGTCTGGAATTTTAACCAATTTTAAGCAATGTTGCTCAAACTAGGCAGCTCTCAATTTCTAGTTTCAAGGTAAGCCGTGACTAATATAGATGCAACCGGTGTGACTCACATTTGGATTCATCAGGTATTACTATATCGGGCCTAGTGCTGAGCCTCTGATGGCTCTACAAGGAGATCCTTCCTCTGGATGGGAGTATTTGTTAGGTGCAGCAGTGGGAGAACATACCTGTGCTGCTTCCAAGTCTGAGATGACTCCTGGCACTGGGAAGTGTGGCACAACCTAGCAAGCCCTTCCAGGTGAGTGTTGTGCAAACCCCAAATAGCCCAGCTCCTCACCATGAGAGCTATCAAGTGCATTTCTGATATCTCTAGTCTTCTCTCAAATAAACAAATTTCATTCAAGCACCTGGCATGAAGAAATGCACACTAAAGAAAGAGTTACTCATTAGCCTATGTGTACTAATTCAAGGCTCAAGGATGATGAAAACAGCTCAGCAAGTGATGAAGCTGCTGTTGTTCTAACGGTTTTCCCATGAGGTTAAATGGGACTTCCTTTCACGTCCACTGATACAAGTGGGGTAACCAACTTGCTTAAAGTTTCATAGCAAGGACATGGAAAATTATTTAAGAGAAAGCAAGGGATTGTAAGGCATTTACAGGAACTCAGAAGTGCCACACTGCTTTACTGAATCCTAGCTCCAGCACCAGCCACATGAAGGAACTGCTGTACCTGTTAGGGTTGTCAGGGGCAAGACTGATTCGCTGTCTATGTCATCCGTTGTCTGGATAAAACTATGCGAAGAAGGAACAATAAGCACAGTCTCATCGTCTATTGTAGGCTGATCAACTTGTTCTTCTATTGTTGGAGAACCCAGGTCCTGCACAACACAGAACAGGACATGAGAGTGTATTCTTGGTAACATAAACAGAAAAACTTGCTTTGGTTAGCCATACTCCATAATAAGCAATAGATTCCCTGGATTAATTTTATCTCATTAAATTGAAATGTCATCACCTGAGCTAGTTTACTTCAGCATTTATAGGGCATGTTTCATCCTAGTGCAGGCATCTAAAAACAAGATGAGAAGAATTCTAACCCTGTGAGCAGCATGAGGGCAGGGGGAGAGGAAAGGAGAGACTGCAAAGTGGTGATAAAAATGTTGTCTTGTACATCAAACACTTTGCCTATAAAGAGGAATAATTAAGCTTTTCCACTACTTGCTGTTTAGATGTTCTGAGATACTGAAGCAATACCTTTATAGTACTTACCAGCTCCACAAAAGCAATAGCTTTACCTGAACTTAATACTTAGTTTCACAACTCCTGCTTCTCTGTCAAGTTTTCACTACTGGACACAGAGCTCAAAAGACCCATTCTAATCACTCTGCCTTGCTTGCCCTGTCACTTGCTGACTGTAAGGTGGCTCCAAACTGTTTTAGCTGATCCTCATTTTATCAAAAAATTGACAACACACCGATTCCTTCCAAGTACAAATTGTCAATACCCCAACCCTCTTCCAGTCCCATGACAGCTGCGGTCTCTTCGCTGGCTCTTGCAGTGCTAGCACTGAAATGGCAGTGATACATCTGGCTTACTCAGTGTCACAGCACACTCCGGAGGACTCCTGGTTCTGCAAACGCAGAGAAAAGACATCCTAGATAGTACTGCCAGAATAAGCAGAGAGATTTGAATTCCAGTTTTTGTGTGTTAGATGCGTAAGGTTTGTTCAAGCTTCAGGAATCACTGATGCAGGACACTAGCAAACGTTGCTGGCAGAATGGAAGATACCTGAATCTATCCCCATTTCCAGAGGGAGCGGGAAATGTTTGGGAGAGGTAACAGCCGTCTCTGTTCAAGAAAATCCTTAAGTTCCTCCACCTAGTTATAGCAAAACTTAATTTCCTACATAGTTTCACAGTATTCTTGCAAAGGCACTGCCTGAAAACCCCTTCCCTGGTGCTGCCGAAGGAGCTGACCACCTTTGCTGCAGCTCAGCGATTTAAACTCAGCCCGAACATGTACCCATTCATGCAAGGCACAGTACACCCAACCTGCAAAAGCAGCTTTCTGCAGAGAGCACAGCTGAACCTGCCCACGATAAGTAGTATGTCACAAGGCTTGAAACTGGGAAAAGGAGGCGTGAAAAACTAAAGAAGCCATTGTGGCAAATGGGCACCTTTCCCAGCCAAAAATAATAAAACCCTGCAACATGACTGCCTGCTTCCCACCACCCACACCCACAGTGGCAATACAATACTGGCAAGTGCGTAAAAATAACACTGACTTGAAGAAAGCAAAAATTTAGGCATGTCTTTCTAGAGTAACTTTTCACTTACACTCACAGTTCGCTATTCCCTGGAATTTAAATAGCCATGTCAAACTTGAATCTGACTAGAAGTATAAACTAATTAGAATTACAAACTCAAGTTTGTTTTTCTGTATAGAAAAAAAAGTTCAGCAGCTCTTTATACCCTGCTAGCCATAAGCCATTTCTACAACGTGCAATTAGGAACTATGTTTATAGCAAAAGTTTACAAATTCTAGCTTGAGAAGCTAAATTTTAAACTGAGTAGAAAGCTGTTGGGCTGCCTCAACTGTTGAGAATCTTATCACAACTATGTCAACCATGACACAAGAAAGAGAAAATGGAAGAACAATCTCCAGCTTCAGATATATTCAGGATCCAAACACTGCAGTAGCAGACTGTTGAGATGTACTTAAGAGTGCAAATGGTACAAAGCCTAACAAAGTCCAAGCATATCAACAATGGATCTTCAAGATGGATAAAACAGAATTACAGCAACTGTAGAGCACAGTGTTTTAGAGAACAGGAGGGTGTATTTGGATCCAACATATCTTTCCACAGTCTAACCTAATCAAGGAAAGAGGTATTTTCTACCCACTAAAGAGAGTTATCTTCTTTTTAGCATCTCTGTTTTCCTTGACTTACTCATTATGATAGCTCCAACAACTGAAAGATAGAGGAATTTAGTATAAACAATCCAAATGCCTGAAATCATTTGGATAAACTCATTTCTGCATCTCAGAATATTCAGTTGGAGCTGAATAAAACTGAGGCCAGAGAGAGCGCTAGCTTAAATGCTTCAAATTCTAATTTAATGGATACTTAGCTGGAGTAGTATGTTTAATAGAAATCCTCAAAAATGGAAACTCTGGTGCACCTCAAAATAGGTTATCAGAATCATAGAGCAAAAACTGAATACTCTACCTCACCTCCCTTGCTCAGCAGTCTACCTACCTGTAAAGGACAGGTGTTGGACAATTAACAGCCTAGTTTAAAGCAGCAGCATCAAATAGCAATCAAAGGCAACTGTTCCATGCCACCAATATTCCCACTTTCCACAGTCATCACGCAAAAGCATCCTGAGTAGTGAAGCAGCTCCACAGCTCGTGAGGTATTCAGTGCTCCAGATGAAGTCAAATATAAGCCAATACAAGTTCCAAATTAAATGCTATCACTTTCACACTCACGTTAATGAAGCTCAAGGATAGCGAATCTGAACAAAATGTTCTTAGAACTATGATATACATGAAATCACTGACATATTTCATACAAATAGCTTAACATAAAGGTCAAAGATGCAATGAAATCATTCTCCATGCAGAAAAGGGGAAAATATCAAGCATCATGCACTCCCTTACTTCAGTAACGTAAGCGCTGGGTAAATCAGAGTGAGAATCCTCTTCTTGTTTCAGGCTGGCATCCGCAATCTCCTCCTCGGTTCTTACCATAACTCCATCCATCAGTTCACTACTATTCATGCTGCTGAATTTGGAGGCATCATCTTCATTGTAGGCTGGCTGCTCTTCGTCACTCAGCTTGGACTGATGGATATCATCTGGGAAAGTATTTGTTTCTAGGGTATCAGGAGGATCTGTCAGGTCAGCTGACTGAATGTCTGAATCAACAGTAAGTTCCGCCTGAGTGACAGAGGAGGAGATATCTTCAGCAGCAACGGTGCGGATTATGACACTTGGTGTGTGGCACTGAACTGTGACGTTGTCACTTGTATTTAACAAGTGCTCTGGCTGCAAGCAGTATTTGCAAAAAGAGACACAACCAAGAACCATCAGAGACTTTCCTCCAAGTATCCTCAAATCTTTCAGCAAATAAAAGCAAAAGAATTCAAAGAACTCATTGCTAAACGTAGTTTAGAGTTTTACATATATAGTACGTCAGCCCAGATCATCTGTTGACCTTTCCTGGCCTTAAATGATGAATCTGTAGACTGAATTTGTGTCAACTGTTCTGTAATTCACAAATAAAGTAATAATACTATCACTACTACACAAGTTTTGTGAACAGCAATATCAGTTTGTGAGAGTAACATCAGGAAAACAGTGGGACAAGCCACTAGGTGGAGACATCATATTCAGCCACAGTAAGAACAAAGTTGCTTACTAAGTTAAGTTTTGAAGCAACTTCAAGTTACTTTTCAAAAACAATACAAAAAAATAAATTCTCCCTCTTCAGTATTTTAAGCAAAGTAACACTGCTATGACTTAAGAACTGCTTTACAAATGTTAACATGCGCATATAGGGGCCTGCATTATTATGTTGCCCTGCCCCCACTGCCCAAACTCCCGTCTTTTCACTGCTCAAAATACATACCGATAAGGCATGAACTATGATCTGTTCTGGGGAGGCTGGAGCAGCAGCAGCCGTTAGGGTCATGGTAGGACTAGTCGTCAGTGTTAAAGGAAGGCCTTGGCTTGAGCTCGTCTGTAGTAAGTATGTACCTGGTGTTCCAGTCGGCTGGAGATGGAAAGACTACAAAAGACAGCACAAGTTTAATACCCAGCACGCTGCCTTCCTGGGACACACCGAGCACTCGGAGAATGCTTATTGACATGAACTCCTCTGGAAAACAAAGAAATCCAATCTCTGCTGCATCGATTGCTGTACTGCACTCAAGAAGTAGAAAGAAACTCATCTATAGCCTTAGGCTATCAAGACAAGTATTCAGGCTAAAAGTCAACCAGGACTGTATTATTGCTGTACAACAGCAGGTAAGAAAGGAACAAATTCAACTTACTCTTAACATTGAGATGAAAGAGAAACTGTGTTATAAATGACAGTACAATGAATCCTTACTTGCTGGGAGCTTCCTCTCACTCCATTATGTCAGATTTCAACAAAAAAACCCCAAAAACAAGCACAAAGGAAAACTTCATAGCACTAAGGCATTAAAACAGATTTAAAGCAATGAACTGTAATTCCCATTTTACTCCACAGCCCTAATGAATTACACCTTTAGAAATACATTTTGCTTTGAACTTTTAAGTTTTAGATCTCTTAACTTCCTCTTTCCACTTGAGAACTGGTTTTTGTTTTTTTTTTTTCCTGGAAATGCACAATTCCATAGTCTAAGAAGTAGCTGTGCTTAAAAGAAAAAACACAGTAACAAATATCAGTTCTCTGTTACTTACTGGAAGAATCTCAAAGGTCTGTAGTGTTCCACTGTTTAGTGTTATTGTCTCAGAGTCAACAGTAGCAGCAGGGGAATCGGTTGAGGCTGCAAAGGTTAAAAAAAAAAGAAAAAAGAAAAAGAAAGTATGTAAACCAAAATGTTTCAGCCCTGAAGAGAGAATAACATACTATAATTACTACGTAGGAGGGTACTGTTAATTCTGGTAATAAGAAAAAGAAAACTGGCTACAATCCTAATGACAAGGTTCTCTAATTGCTACCCAAGATGCAATACTATTTAGAGAGGGCATTCTACAATCCAAAAGCGCAAAAGAAAGAATGTATGGTTTTAGTGCACAGGGATAAAAGCAGACAAATAAAGTTATCTGATGTGATGAAATTACTTTTTGTGAAGAGATTTGTAAGAGGTTCTGGTGTAACAATATCATTTGGATCATGTATTACACTAAAGTGGTGTCAGGTTTAATATCGCTATGTTTCCCGCAGACCTCAGGGTTTTGTGTTTTTATTTTTAACCTTTTCTGCCCTCCACAGTATGTCCACCACTGATGAAACATCAGATGCTCCCCAAGATATCTGCTTACCCTGTGCATTGTGATTGCACTGTATAAAAGCTATAAGTATTCTTATTACAAGTGTGTAACTATGCAATTATCTCCATTAATTCTAAAAGTAACTAAGAGAAGCACTGAAAACAGTTTATGTATCAGACATTTCAAGATCACCAGGTCCAACCAGCTCATACCCAAAGATTTATAAGATATCAAAAAACCTGTTCAGAACCATAATTACGATTTTTACTTATTCTTAAAAGACTCACAAGTTCCAGGAAGCCAAAGGTCTATTAACCCTTTGCCTGGGATTATCCAGTAATTCCATAAGTACCATAAGGGCAAAAGATTTACATGATGACAGCAGCGCTCCAAGCGCTGGAAACTTGGCCATCTCAGACTCTGGCTTCAAAGTAGACTAATTTTGGTTTCTTAAGAAGATACAAGCTCCGATTTTTGAAGCTTTTATTGTTTTAGTGGCATGTTCAAGGCTTCCCACATTTCCTGGCATCAAGTAGCAGACAGCTGTGAAGTGTGGCCTGCCTGTTACCTAGCTAGTTATGTTCATAAAATTTACAGAAATTACTCCTTTGAAACCTTGAACCTTCTATCAAATGCAGCTGCAAGTGGCTAATAGATTCAGGTCTCATGGGATTGAGAAACAGACAAGACACAATACAAAACTCACTTGGAATACACAAACAGAAATTCTTCAGGAAAGCAGACTAAAATGGGGAAAAAGGCTTGTTAGGCAGACAGGTGCATCACAAAATAACCATTACAGTAATGGTTACCAACTCAGAAAGGACTAAAGGTTCCAGAATACCAGCACAGCTTGCCTGCTCATCAAAACCCAATAGCTTTGACCGAGCTTGGCTCAAAGTATGAGACCACTTATGTATTACTACAGATAAAAAGTTCTTGGCTTGGTGTTGTGTGATATTTTAATTAAGAAATAAACCAGATAAAATGAAGATGGCACTTAAGTAGATTAAGATAGGCTAATATAATGAAATTATAAACAAAAAATTGTCTAACAAATGCCTATCTACTCATAGTCTGAATAAACGGTTCTTGGTCTGATTAACTAATTTTGTAATCAGCAAGATTGAAGCACTAAATTTTCCTAATAAAATTCACACACGACAAACAGTGCAAAATAGTACACAATGGAGATGACAGGCTGCATACGGGGTACCGGACTGGAGTGACTGGAGTTACTTAATAAGAATAGTTGCAAAATCAAACAATAAGCACTACAATCAAAGTAGACGTGGTAATAAATGTTCGATAATGTGCAAAGTTCATCCTTAAGAAGATGGGAAGCACCAACTTAAAAAAGTAATACAGTGGTTAGAGCAGATCATCAGCTGAACATCAGTGTGACTTGGCAACTAGTGCTTTCTAGAGTCTCTGTGCCTAGAAATAACTGCAGAATACAGAGCAGGACTAGACAAAACACTATATACCTTCCTGCTTAAGAGTCCTTCATCAGAGCTTAGGCACAGCAGTGTATATGTTATACAAAAGGAGATCTCGTACATGATGTTCATTGCTCTAGACAAAAGCTACCAGAAGAAATTTAACGAATAAACATATATTCTGCATCTCCATTAAGAAGCCTGTGTACGGAAACCTTTTCAAAGAACACATTACATGGCAAGCTCTTGTGTGCATGCAGACAGACACCTACAACCCCTATGTCCAGGCGCTCCAACTGCAGCTCCTTGGTACTATTGTCATGGTAGTATCTACATTTGCCTAACAAAGTTAGAAATGGGCAAATGGAATCCAGAAATTCTTAATCTGAAGTTATGGCAAGACCAAAGCAGAATTAATAAAATTCTTTAAGATGTGCCCGCTCCTCCTTCACCATCTTAACATAAGAAAGCTTTAGGTTGCATTAGAGGACAGAGTCTCATTCGTTTCAGCTACTTACAGACATGCGTAATCTGGACTGGAATCTGCAAAGCTGCCATGGGGCTTGGTGTGTTGCCTGTGCTCTCCTCTAAGCGAGCCACTCGAATCTGCACGTGCTGAACTCCCGAACTGGAATTAGTGTTTGGTAATCCACTTCCAGATTTGTTCTCCGAAAGCTGGTGCCCTGGATTGTTTTTTTGGTTCTCATGGAGTTGTTTAAGACCCTTTATCAGCACTGAGAGAAAGAATACTCATGCTAAAGCATGTTGAAGAAGCATATTTGAAATGCTGCACGTGAGATTTATCCAAGATGAAAAAAGTAACCAAAATCCTTCTGGATTTGGAACCTAAATGATTTATAGAGATATATCAACTAGAAATTTAGCACATACATAAACAACATTTGTAGCTAACTACTGGAGTGAACCTTGATTTTCTCAATTAACTTAGCCATCTTAGGATGCTTGGAAAAAACCCTAAAAGTCATAAAAATTTGGACCTCTCTAAAAACATGTATGGTATATCCCCAAGCTACAATCAAGTGCCAGTATCACTAGTTGTGTAATGCTGCTATGAGAAATGAACCCTCCAATCTTAGAGAACATGGAAGCGGATTTGTTCAAGAGGTTGACAGAAGCGTCACTGGAAATACGGAGCAAGAGAGAATTAATATCGCAGTGGCTATACTACACTTTTTAGCCTGTGCATGAAGTGGCCCATTGCTCCAGTAAAACTGCCCACCTTTTTTCCCCCTATGACCACTTCAGTCCCACTGAGGGAGCAGTTGATATCTATGAGGTTACAAAAGTTGAGGCCGCTGCTTTTCTAGCATTCGATACAGTGAACTGCTTAAACATCTCCCACTCCTGACAGCGTGACATTTTGTCTGGGGAAAGTGAGTGACTCCTGTTGATTTAGTGGCGTATTTATGTTATGAGTTATTTGATGCAACAACTGTCTAATAACATATGGTTTATACCATATTAAGCATAAGAGGACTACCCTCTCAACTGCAGCCTCCAGGCATGACTAATATATAACTACTGTGATGACCACAGCAAAAGTGTCTATTAAATTACCCCTTTCATTATGACGTGACTAATCTCTCTTTTTTTTTTTTTTTTTCCTCTCCTCAAGACAGAGAAAAGGAAGACTGAATGAAAGGTCACAGAAATACCCTTTGGCTCAGCTGCTAGTTTCTCCGACCGAGAATGAGAGCTATGAGAAATGAATTTGAGGAGTTTTATACTCCCCATTCCTCCCCTCCTCCTCACTGTGGTAGATCTACCTTCTTTCTACAGCTAAGGTTCAGCACCCCACACAGATTACATGTTAACATTTTAAAGGTAACAGATCTAACCTGAGATGACAGTTAGGCTGCGGATACATATCCTCTTCCACCTGAAGAGGTCACTGCCCTCCAAACCAAAGATCATCATCATCTGAGATCTGCCAGCTGAGCTGCAGACGTGCTCTCACTTTAGCCAAAGTGAACAGAGTTGGCAAAATCTACTGTTTAGTTGTATACATCAGCTTGGCCTGTTTCAACTGAAACACTTAAGGATTGCTTGTAGGAGCAGATCCAAGGGGTCAGTAACTTCTAGCAAAGGAGCAATGTCCTCTTTGGCCAGCAGTGTTGCAAGCAGACAACAAAATACAGCCTTATTCCTTTGACATTTGTGAACGGAGCTTTCAGAAGAGAAGTGTTCGAGTAGTACATTACCAGGGAATGAAACATCTTTGTGGTTTGCAATCTGCCTTTTAATGGTCCACCATTTACTCCGAAGCCACTGTGGCGAGCGGACACTACTCCATCCTTCAGCTAGTAAATCCCAATTGATGTCATTTTCATCAGAAACTTCAAGTTCCGCTATCCTGGCAGGAAACAGAAAATATTTACCTGTTAGAAACTACCCTCCAGACTAGAAGGGGTGTTGCACATCTCCAGTCCTGTCACATGTAACAGCGGCAAAATGGCATGCTAGTGAATAGTCCACCAGAGCTCATGAATCAATATAGGCTTCCAAGGCTCCACGCTGCCAGAGGTCAAGCAGAATCATAAACAACAGAAGATGGACTAGACCTGTTAGATGATCCAGTCCATCTCCTTGCCATGCAGGATTATTCTCCTTATTTACATATACATTAGGAGTTTGATCAGATTATTGTGAAGCATTCCAAATGATGGTACTTGCATCTTTTCTCTTTGGAAAACCATTCCCCAAACACATCTCCAAGGCAGGAAATACTTCCTGAGATTCACTCTGAACTTCCACTTAATTAATTTCATGTTATGATATTTACTTCTGTTTTCTCCTAATTAACACTCATCCGTCCTTAACATAGATTTTTGCCTCCTCTCAGATGCTTCTTAGCCAAAGTAGATGAAGTTAACTACAGTATTAAACAGTTCCTCACAAATCAATCCCATTAGGCTCTCCAGGTAAGGGACAGTCTTCACATAATTTTGGCAGATGTTATGCACATACTGGATTCTACCAGAATCTGTTTGAATACTACAAATATCTCTGAATTGCCTCCAGCTCATCTGTACCTGGAGCATATGAAAGAGAGGTGAACAGTGAGAGGGAAAAGATTTTTGTGAAAGTTAAAAGTTCTCTTCACAAAGCAAGAAATAGCACTGAATACTCTTGCTAGCTAAAAAAACCCAAACAAACCCACAACAAAAAACCCCAAAAACCAAACAAAAAATGGGAAAAAAGAAAAAAAGCTACCCAAAACAACTAAACAACCCTGTAGGATGAATTAAGGATATCTGGACAGATCAAAACAAATACCTTTTGTACAGAAATATTAAGAATTATAACCAGATAACCAGCACATTCTGAAATATGGAATCAGGTTCCTCATTTTGAGTTCAAGTCAAACAGCTTCAGTAAATTAGTAAATATAGCTCTGTAGATGTTTAGATTCCCTGTATGTCTTGGCTTTTTTTATTCCCACCCAAAACTGTATCACCCCATAAAAATCCACTGGCTAAAAAGCCTGAGTTAAAGGCATTCAAAATGGGAGGAGGACTGGAGAGAGCAAAAGATTTCCAAAGTTACTACCAGGTTGCCAGTTCAAATGTAGTCAAAGATGCTGATATCCAATCAGTGTTTGGTGGCCTACATGAAATTAATTTGCAGTCTCGGTTTAGTTCTTTGTAGACAAGACGTCCACATCACAGAAACCACCACCACACTTGACCCTTGTTGGTCATCTCAGCAGAGAGGCCAAGGACTGAATGGGCAGGGAGACTGAACTACCCTCCAGTTAAGGGTTAAAGCGCATTGGTGGGGCAACGTGTGGGAAGCTTGCACGGTCGCTGCCTGTGCTGTACCTTTTCTGTGGAATAAAGAAGACTTCAGTCTCCAGGGTTTTCAATCTGACACCTTTCACGAACACTAACATTCACTAAAAAAACAAAAAACAAAAAATATGTTCAATAATAAATCTCTGGGAACTGTAAACACAGCAGTGATTTTTGGAGGGTTCTAGAGTTTTTAGTGTCTAAGTAACCAGCAAAAGGGACCCCAATGGAATCCTGCTAGCGTCATGTATTACGAACCTTTACAAGTAATTAAAATAACAAACCTCAAGATCAGATTTATTTCATCTTCCTTGGTCCACTCAGTGCCCCCACTTTGTTTCCAGTTGAGATAGTTGAGCCATTTAGAGCGGCATTGCTTTTCAGAGCGTGTCCCAACCCGTTCCGCTACGGCAGCCCACGATACACCTTGTGTGACAATGTCACCTGGTTCTGTGCTAGTTAGCTCATGCACTACTTCTGCTAGTCTTTTTTCTTCTTTCTCTGTCCACTTTCCTGAAAGAGAGAAAAGCCCTCCAAACTTAACTAACAGCAGATGCCCTCTGTTCAGATCTGTAACATGTCAACAGCCATTTATCTTCAGTGCCTAACACCTTACTCCAGATGCAAATAATGACTTGCTAAGAAGACATAACTGTTTGTTCTTACTAATAATTTATATTATATCCAGTCTTGCTTAACAAATGCATAATTCCATGGTTTTGCTGCCATGTTTCTTTCTCTTCTCTTCCTCTTGCAGATAAATGAAGCCACACAGAACTTAACCAAAATACTGACCCAAAACAAACTGGTCAAAGCTACCATAATTATATTAGTTGAAGTAAATTAACCATGAAACAATTTAGTATACAGTAATTACAGGAGGTCTGACTAAATTTTCCTTCCATTTCAATATATACACTACAAAATAAACAGTACTTTACTCCTAAAGTGCATCTGTCTCTTAATTGACATCAAATATACAATATATCTTTATAAACATTAAACACAAGAGAAAGTACTTTTAAATCCACCTCAATCAAATATGTTCCAGTGGCATAAACGTATGACGGATAACGGACTGCAAAAATAAACTGAGTGTTCTGATCTTTAAGAACTGAAACTGGAGAAACTTATACCAAATACGTTCTAAAAATGTCCCCAGATTTCACTTTGTAAGTTCCTCAGTTCAGAGTTACACATCTCTGAAAACACCACTGACAAAAGCAAAGGTGCCAGAGTTTTAACTAGAATATCCATTACAGCACTCCAGCATTTACCTCACCTGTGTTGCAGGTATCCTTCATCAATCTACATCGATCTTTTACAGATGAAGCACTTCTCCCCAGCGCAGCTCCTATTGTGGCCCAATCATTACCATGCTTTATTCTCAGCCTGGATAGAAACATGTTCATCAGCAGTATATCCAGTTAAGAGATTACCAAAATATCAAATACACTCTAATAAAAACAGGATAAATGTGCAGTTTACAGGCTTAAAGACAGAATGGGGAGTAACTTTAATACTACAGCATTAACATATTTTCTATCACTGCTAATTTTTCTGTGTGTTTGTAGAAGCCTTTTGGGTCAGCTAAGCCACAGAATACTCACTTATAAAAATGTTTAATATCTAACTGTCTTGCAGCAATGCCGTGAGGCTTAATTACTGCGTTAAATACAATATGAATGTTTAGATAAACAGCCAACATCCTCAAGATTCTCAAGTGGTACAGAGATCACTTGAGAAATCTAAATAATGCCTGATGAAAACCCAGGCATCCTACAATTTAAATGAGGAAAACCACTGCATAATCATGGTTGTAATTTTAACTATTATTTTCCTCCCACACATGACAACAGGTTGCTAACATGTTGAGCCATGACTACTTCTGATACATTTGGAACCACAGGCACCTTGTGAATGATACAAACCAGCTAAACTGATCCAAACATATCCATCAACACAATGAAACAGACTCCCTTCCTTCCTTCAGTCCAAAGTGTTTTCTTCAAACTGCTAAACGCTGGAAAGCTGCAAGAGGTGATAAAGTCTGCAGCCCCTCCATGTATCAGGTTCCTAGTCAAAATCAAACAGCCTTACCCATAACTTATGTATCTCTCTCATACTTCACAGGGGAGTCCTAACCTTGACCTGCCACTTCTTTTAGAAATAACCTTTGCTCAGGTTTCCTAAAGAAAGGGAATTTCTGTTTTTCACAAACATAACCGCAAATGTTGACTGTGCTTGTAAAAATCTGAAACACTGCTAATTTCAGCAGGTTTACTTTAGAACTTTGTTGCGTACTGCTTATGTCCTAAATACACGTTAGATAATACAAAAAAAAAAAAAACCCAAATGTAGTTTCATTTCTCTTCAGATTAAGTTAGTGACTACTATTTTCTGATAGAGTTGGAGCAGTCAAATTTACTTGCAACTTTTCAGTGATAACATGTAACAAAACCTGTAAAAACTACTCAAGCTACTAAATATAAAAAAGGTAGCATGACCTTGTTAATAAAAAGACTTACTCTTTAAGCTTTTCAATTTCCTCAGGAGTATACCTAAGCAACAGGTAAATAAAAAGACATTATTTTAAACAGAAAGCATACAGCACAAATATTTTTCTTTTACTAACCACACGGTACACATTTAGTTACAAGAGATTAAGGAATTTCAGCTGTAAAAAACAATCTGACTGAATACTTCAAAAGAACATCAAGAATAAATGCCATTTTCCACATTAGCATATTTCTAAGGTGATGTGGACTAATACTTCGCTCATTTGCCAGTAAAATTCCTCATTCTCAGTGATCTTACTACTAAGAACAGAATTAGAATTTTGTGTATTAGTTTCCTTTTGGTCTCGGTTCACAATCATCATAAGGATGACTTTCCATTAAAAAAATCAGCACGGAGATGGTATTTTTAATTTTCAACTACCTTTAAAAACCCAACATCCTTTTCGGCACTTCTGGATGGTGCCACGCCAACTGCTTTACAGATGGGCAAACTAAGGGCACAGGGATGAATATCAATTAGCTCAATGTCACGGTTCTAGGAAAAAACTACATCTCAGCAGATCCGTGCTTGTGTCAAAGGCTTCTAATCATATCAGAATCCTCTCTGCATCTTTTTTTTTGGGGGGGTGGTGG